TATTTTTTTTACAGAACACCATTTTTACTTGAAGGAACAACTGACACACAAACTATGGTTATTTGGCACTTCAGGGAAACCACTGACATTATTTATTGCCAATGATAAAATTCGAGCTTTCATAAAAATTAGAACTTTGGAAATTTTGTATCTGACACATGATACACATATTTCCTAATACTTAAAGACTTATCTAAGATCAGTAGTGATATTAAACAAATGTGATTTTTTGATATCATATAATGAAATATGTCTACATTTAGAAGATCAGCATAATGAGTCAATATTTTCTAAATGACCTAAATTTCTAAATACACGATAAAAAATCATGCATGGGTAAAAGATCCATTCAAAGTCTAAGGCAGACCAATAGATTTTAATGTAACCTGGTACAAAAAGTTCAACCCATACTGTATGGGGTTCCCAACTGGTAGGGTTGCCATAACAAAATACCACAGACTGGATAGCTTAAACAACAGACATTTCTTTCTCCCAGTCCTGGAGGCTGGGAAGTCCAAGATCAAGGTACCAGCCAATCTGGTTCCAGGGGAGAGATCTCTTCCTGGCTTGCGGATGGTCACCTTCTCACGGTGTCCTTACATGGCTGGGAGAGAGAGAAACCTCTCTGGTCTCTTCTCATAAGGACATTAACCCTATCAGATCAGGGCCCCACTCTTACGACCTCCCATAACCTTAATTATCTCCTTATAGGCCCTACCTCCAAAAATAGTCACAATGGGGGTTAGGGCTTCAACGTATAAATTTGGGGGGGAACATAATTCAGTCCATAGCAGATATCGTTTCAGATTCTAGATTGCAACTAACTTTTAAGAAACTACTGTCAAGTGCTGGTGTAGTACAAAGAGGAATATCCACAATTATCTGAAAAAGCTATTAAAATGCTCCTTTCTTTTCCAACTACGTATCTGTCTGAAGCTGGATTTTCTTCACATACTTCAACCAAAATAACTTATCCCAACAGACTGAATATAGAAGCATATATGAGAATCCAGTTTAATGTCTTCTCTAAGACAGATGTGAAAAAGATTTACCAAAATGTAAAACCACCTTCTCTCCTGATTTTGTTCTAGAAAATAATTGTTTTTCATAAAATGTTATTTATGTTAACATATCATGAATTGGGTTTATTATTATTATTTTAATTGACATAAGTAAATGTTTAAAATTTTTATCACTTTTAATTTCTAATAGGGTAAACAGTGGTAATCCACATAAACAAAAGCTCTTTGAGGTCCTCAATAATTTTTTAGTGTAGCAGGTCCTGAGACCAGAAAGTTTGATAACTGCTGGTCTAAATCATCTCTCAAAAGATTCAGGGCTGGGGCTGGCCCGGTGGCTTAGAGGTTAAGTGCGCGCGCTCTGCTACTGGTGGCCCGGGTTCGGATCCCAGGCGCGCACCGACGCACCGCTTCTCCGGCCATGCTGAGGCCACGTCCCACATACAGCAACTAGAAGGATGTGCAACTATGATATACATCTACTGAGGCTTTGGGGAAGAAAAAAAGGAGGAGGATTAGCAATAGATGTTAGCTCAGAGCTGGTCTTCCTCAGCAAAAAAAAAAAAAAAAAAAAAAAGATTCAGGGCTGGCCCAGTGGCATAGTGGTTAAATTCACACCCTCCACTTCAGCAGCCTGGGTTCGTGGGTTCGGATCCTGGGCACAGACCCACGCACCGCTCATCAATCCATGCTGTGGCAGCATCCTACATATAAAACAGAAGAAGACTGGCACAGGTGTTTGCTCCAAAGACGATCTTCCTCAAGCAAAAAGAGGAACGTTGGCAACGGATGTTAGCTCAGGGCCACTCTTCCTCACCAAAAAAAAAAAAAATTTCAGACTCATAGATATTTTAACTGTTTCATTTTCTCAAAGATATTTCTCCTAGAGCCTTCTGACTTGCTCCAATCTGGATCAGCTGTCTTCTATACCTGTGTAGTCCTAGTCCCCTAGGAACTTTCTTCACCATCACCTAGGTCAGGTGTCAGCAAACTACAGCCTGTGGGCCAAATCCAGCCTGTCACCTGTTTTTAAGTAAAGTTTTACTGGAACACAGCCGTGCTCATTCAATTATGCTCTTTTGTGCTACGACAGAGCTGAGTAGTTGTGACAGAGATCAAACGGCCTATAAAGCTGAAAATATTTACTACCTGGTTCTTTATAGGAAAAGTTTGCTGACTTGTGATCTACACAATTCTTTCACTTCTTTCCTGTGTTGCTTTATTTGTTTCCTGAATACCATGTCTCCCTCCTTTCTGATTTACTCCTTCTTTTGGTGAAGCACATCTTCTGGTAGCTTCCTGAGAAAGGGTGCATGAGAGGTCCATTTTTTTGAGACCTTGCATGTCTGAAAATGTCCTTTCCTACTCTCACATTTTATTATAACTTAGCTGGGTCCAGAATTTTAGCAGAGAAATCATAGTCTTTCTGAAATTAGAAAGCTTTGCTTCATTGTCATCTACCTTCTAGGATTACGACAGAAAAGTCTTAAATTATTCTGAGTTCTGATCTACTGTACATGACTCTTTTTTTTTTCCCCTTCAGGAGGCTATAGAGTCTTTTCTTTGACCTTGGGGTTCTGAAATTTTACGATGCTGTGGCTTGGAGACGACGTACCTCCACCTCTGTGCTGGCAGTAGGCTCTGTCAATCAGGAAAGTCACGTCCTTCATAAAGCGGCAGTTCCTTGAATTATCTTGTGGATCATTTCTTCCTCCTCTTTTTTTTGTTCTCTATTTCTGGAATGCTCATTGAACAGATGTTGGATGTCATGGACTGGTCCTCTAATTTTCTCATCTTTTCTCTCTCTTTCTGGGACAACTCCTCAACTTTATCTTCCAACCAGAATCTTGAGTCTTCTTCATTTCTTCTATAATGTTTTTAATTTTCAAGAGCTCTTTTTCCCTCCCTCTGAATGTTTCTTTTTTAAAATATCTAGATCTTGTGATACAGACACTTTCTTTTGAAAAGAAATTCTCTGAGGATATAAATGATAGCTTCTTTTCCCTGTACTGTTCTGTCCTTGCTGCTTTTTCCTGTGTGTTTACTTTGGTTTTCCTATCTCACATTAGAGGCTTTCCTCCTGGCTGTCTCTTCATACATGAAAGTGAAACACCAAAAGGCTGATTTTTAGTGAAACCCTAAAATGCTCTGCTTGTGTGGGTAGAGCTCATTGTCTGTAGGCTTTACTGTAGGGAGACACAGCTGGGCTGTTGGTTGGGAAACCCTTGAGGTTATTATCTTTAAATCTTCTTGGGCCGGCCCTGTGGCTTGGTGGTTAAGTGCGTGCGCTGCGATGCTGGTGGCCCGGGTTCGGATCCCGGGTGTGCATCGAGGCACCACTTCTCCGTCCATCCTGAGGCCGAGTCCCACATACAGCAACTAGAAGGATGTGCAGCTATGACATACAACTATCTACTGGGGCTTTGGGGGGAAAAAATAAAAATAAATAAAATCTTTAAATCTTCTTCACTACTCAGATTCCTCAGAGAAAGATTTTTCATCTCTTGACTCTAGGCTTGGCTACTACAATTTTGGGGTTGGCTGGGAAAAGCAAGCTGGGATTCAACATTCAGTATGCCAGCATTCACTCAACCTCCCCCAAGGGACCACTACCATCAAGTGTGTTTGGTGTCCCCTAGTTCAGACATCCTTTACTTCATTCTGTCCAGAGAATAAATTTTTAGTCTTCTTCTAAGTTATGAGAGGGGAAATCTTTTTAAATAAACTTTTAACAAAAATACAGTTAATCTCCTCTTCACACACCTCTTCCCCACTTTACAGAGTTACCTGGTGCTGTCAATTTCTGAATTTCTTTAGGGTTCTGCTGTGTAAACTGGGTTGTTCCTTGGCTTCCTCTATTGTTGGCTCAGGATTCAGCTTTCTCGGGACTGCTAAGTCAGTGATCACTCATCCATCTGCTTTCTAGCTTCCAAAATTTTGTTGCTGTTGTCTCCTCTCCCACTCTCTTTGTCCTTGTGGGTTTATGTCTTCAAAAAAATATCTCTTTACTGTTGTTTCAGTGAGGTTTTGGGAGGGAATGAAAGTAAATGTGGGTATTTGATCCTCCATCTTTATTTGAACTTCTTTATAATTAAATATCTTTTTTTTAACTTCCATTTACTATTACAGCAGAAACATTTCCTATGTTCTTACATAGTCTTTGTAACGGCTTTAGTAATTCCATAACATTCCATTGAGTCGGTACTATAGCTTACTTAATCATTACCCTAGTTTTGGATGTTTAGAGTTGTTTCTGTTTTGGGGGAGGGGACTAGTTTTTCCTGGAGTCATCTTTCATTTATCTGTCTCATTTATTCCCTATATTTAGGAAATGCCTGCTGACATTCTTCTCCACTCTGTTCTCAGTGCATGGTTTCATCACTTTGTGCTTGATTACACACTACCTTGCAAAATTTTAATTCATCTTCCAATCGCCAGGTCATCCTGCACAATGGTGCAGCACTAATCTTTCTAAAATGTCATCTTTCCCATGACACTTCAGAGGAACCCTAACACCTACCATTCACTTGTGACTGGCATTTGAGGCTCCCCATAGTTTGAGTCCACTCCAGCTACCCCAACTCACCACCCTTTCCCAAATGTCCTCCTTCAAACATGGCCTGCTCTCCTAACTGCAGCTCAGGCTGTTCCTCCTGCCACTGCCTGTCCACATTCACCTTCCTTTACACCCTATCTCCTGCACCAAGCCTCACCCACATGACTTTGCTTACACACTTTCCTCCTTCACCTGATAATAGACAAGAATCAAGTAACCTGTTTCTAATTGCTTAGGGTCAATCTTGCCTTATAAATGGACTGACAGCTCTTCAGAGGCAGAGGCTCTTATACGTTCTCCTCTATGGCAGCTGCCCCTCCACCACCCTCATCCTACCACCATGGGACTTCAACTCAGCACCAGGTGCACAGTGGGTGCTTAAGAGGGACTCACTGAATGGAATGGACATGCATGTAAGTTGTTACCTTGCCCTTCGGAGTTAGCGTCCAGATCACGGAGAAGGTCAGCTTGTCAGTCATGGGATTGAGGCTGCACAACTCCTCACACAGCAGCCTGGGAAGCATGGGGACAACCTGCAAACAGAGAACAGGCCCATGAGCACCTTTCTCCAATTCACAGGAGTTTACCACAGGCTTAGAAGCAGCCCAGAGGGCGGAGTTTTGGTGAACCGCTTGGTGAACCAGAGCAAGCTAAAGATGGAGGCAGCTCTTTTCCTCGAAGATTCTGCAGAAAGACCACACTATCTGATACTTTTCCACGGGCCTCTAGAGTCAAATGGGAACGTGAACTGGAAAGGTGAGAAGAACTGGTAACAGAGGCAAAAAAATACATTATAGCAAAGAAAAACAACTACATTTTACTGTATACTAAAACTGAAGCTCTATACACAGGAATGACTTGTACTTTTGGAAATAACTATTCCAGTTGAACTATATACTTAAGTATTTAAGTCTTTAATTCATTTTGAGTTAATTTTTGTGCACAGTGTAAGTTAGACGTCCAGTTTCATTCTTTTGCATGTGGCTGTCCAGCTTTCCCAACACCATTTATTGAAGAGACTATCCTTTCCCCATTTTATGTTCTTGGCACCCTTGTCAAAAATCAGTTCACCATATATACATAGGTTTATTTCTGAGCTGTCTATTCTGTTCCATTGGTCTATGTGTCCATTTTTATGCTAGTACCATACTGTTTTAGCCAGCCCTGGTGGTCTAGTGGTTAAGATTCGGCACTCTCACTGCCGCAGCCCAGGTTCATTTCCCAGTCAGGAAACCACACCACTCATCTGTCGTTTGTGATACTGTGGCGGCTGAATGTTGCTGTGATGCCAAAAGCTATGCCACTGGGATTTCAAATATACCAAGCAGGGTCACCCATAGTGGACAGGTTTCAGTGGAGCTTCCAGACTAAGAAAGACTAGGAAGAAGAACCTGGGCACCCACTTCTGAAAAAACCGGCCATGAAAACCCTATGAACAGCATCAGAACATTGTCTGATATAGTGACGGAAGGTGAGAGGATGGCACAAAAAGACTGGGCAGGGTTCCACTCTGCTGTACACAGGGTCACTAGGAGTTGGAACTGACTCGATAGCACTAACAAACCATACTGGTTTGATTATTACAGCCTTGTAACACAGTCTGAAGTCAGAAGTGTGATGCCTCCAGCTTTGTTGTTCTTTCTCAAGATTGCTTTGGCTATTCAGGGTCTTCTGTGGTTCCATATTAATTTTAGGATAGTTTTTTCTATTTTTGTGAAAAATGCTATTGGAATTTTGATAGAGATTACATTGAATCTGTAGATTACTTTGTTTTTTGTTATGCTTTTGTCTGAGGAAGATCAGCCCTGAGCTAACATCCGATGCCAATCCTCCTCTTTTTGCTGAGGAAGATTGGCCCTGGGCTACCATCCGTGCCCATCTTCCTCCACTTTATACGGGACGCCGCCACAGCATGGCTTGATAAGCGGTGCGTCGGTGCACGCCTGGGATTTGAACTTGCAAACCCTTAGGCCGCCGAAGTGGAGTGCGCGCACTTAACCGCTACGCTACTGGGCTGGCCCTGTAGATCACTTTGGACAGTATGGACATTTTAACAATATTAATTCTTCCAATCCAAGAACACAGGCTATCTTTCCACTTATTTGTGTCTTCATCAATTTCTTGCATCAATGTCTTCTGGTTTTCAGTGTACAGGTCTTTCACCACCTTGGTTAAATTTACTTGTCAGTATTTTATTGCTTTTGATGCTATTGTAAGTGGGATTACTTTCCTAGTGTCTATATCACCTCACATCTCTTAGGATGGCTATTATCAAAAAGACGAGAGATAACAACTGTTGGCAAGGATGCGAAGAAAAGGGAACATTGTTGAGGGGAACGTAAATTGGTGTAGCCATTATGGAAAATAGTATAGAAGTTCCTCAAAAAATTAAAAATAGAACTACCATATGATCCAGCAATCCCACTTCTGGGTATATATCTGAGGGAAATGGAATCAGTACTTTGAAGAGAGATCTGCACTCTCATATTCATTGTAGCATTATTCACAATAGCCAAGATATGGAAACAACCTAAGTGTCCATCAATGGAGGAATGGATACAGAAAATGTGGTATAAAAAAAAAAGAAAATGTGGTATACATGAATGAAGCCACTGTGGGCCCCCTAGACCAGCCCATCTACCAACTGACCCCAGCTGATGCCACATGAAGCAGAAGAATTGCCTAACCAATTCCTGCTTGAATTTCTGAGCCACAGAATTCGTGACATATAATAAAATTGTGTTTCTTTAAAAAAAAAAAAAAGAAAAAGAAAATGTGGTGTGTGTGTATATATACATATATACATATACACAATTTATATATACACACATAATGGAATATTATTCATCCATAAAAAAGAAGGAAATTCTGCCATTTGTGACAACCTGAGGGGCATTATGCCAAGTGAAATAAGCTAGACAAACACAAATACTATATGGTATCACTTATATGTGGAGTCTTAAAAAAAAAAAAAAGCCGATTTTATAGAAACAGAGTAGAATGGAAGTTGCCAGGGGCTGAGGGGAGGGGAAAATGGGGAGATGTAGGTCAAAGGGTAAATACTTTCAGCTATAAGATAAATAAGTTCTGAGGATCTAAGGTACAGCATGGTGACTATAGTTAATAATCAGGTACTGTATACTTGAAATTTGATGAGAGTAAAATCTTAAGCGTTCTCACCACACACACAAAAAGAATTAACTATGTGAGGTGATGGATTTGTTAATTATCTTGCTCTTGGTAATCATTTCACAATGTATATGTTTATCAAATCATCACATTGTACACTTTAAATATATATAATTATATTTGTCAATGATTCCTCAATAAAGCTGGGGAAAATAAAAGAACCCAAAGGCTGAGTGTAAACTCGTGACAGGGTTTCATCAAAGGAAACTGCTGAATCAATGCATTAGTAATTGAAAATACCACAAATGACCAAATCACATGTTGGAACATTAACAGAATACTCCAACAAAATATCACTGAAAGGTTCATAAATCCAGGTTCCCTAGATGAACACTGTGGTCAACTAGTCACTCATTTTGCAATTTTTTAAGCCTAAATTATTTCTTCCCTTTATTGATCTTCCTATCCAATAATAAACTGATTCAATGGTACACCTTCTTTAATTAAAAAAAAATCTCTTCAACTTACTTTCAAATGACGACTTACAGCTATCTCAGAAAGTTACTTGTTTTCTCTAAAATTCCAAAGATGAAATGAGTATCTCTACCTGGATCTCCTGAAGATAATTCCAACTCTCTCCCTCCCTCCTTTAAATCTATTCCTTCTCCCATATTTTTCTTGATTAATGGCATTATCATTCACCCCGCCACCTAAATGAAAAAGGCAGAATTACTAGCCACTTATTCAACACACTTAACTGTGGACCTACTTGATCTGCAGTGTTAAGCATGGGTAACACTGTAACCCTGTGTTAAGTAATTGAGAAGTAAAAGGCACGAGGGGCAACCATGCTCCAGTTGAGGGAAAGTTAACTAGTTAAGTTTCTTTATCAGCAAAAGCAAAACAAACCCCAGTGGCTTCTTATTCTATGTGAACTGTCTGTACCTGTACCCTGTTTCAGTACAGTAAATAACTTTTGGTATGTAAAAGTAAATTCTAGAACTCATGGCCCACACCAGTAACAAATAATTAATAACTGTAAGGCATTACTTGGCATGGGTCTGAAGGATGCTTTATCTTTTTAACACCAATGTAAAACCTAATGACCACCTGAAAACTTATGGTAATGGCTTTTATAAGACAACCACTTTTGCAATTTTTTTCTTGCCATTGCTTCTGCTCCATCTGTTCAGATGACACTACATTTTCATTGTTAACTTATTTAATGAGTATTAAAATGCGATCTGAATATTTAACATTTTCTTGCATGTATCAAGTGTTTTCCAAAATAATACATCTTTACCTGCACAAACACACTGTATAAAATGGAGCAAGTTTCAATACCACACCGTCTCATGATTGAACTGTAAAGATTTCACATAATTTTAGCCTTTGGACAATGTTATGGACTGAATTCTGTCCCCTCAAAATTCCTATGTTGAAGTCCTAACCCTCAATGTGACTGTATTTGGAGGTGGGGTCTTTAGGAGGTAATTAAGGTTAAATGAGATCATAAGGGTGGGGCCCTGATCCGACAGAAAGAGAGAGATAACTCCCCCTCCCTGCTCTGCACACACACAGAAAAATGGTCCTCAGGGGACACAGCCGTCTACAACCCAGGAAGAGAGTCCTCACTAGGAACCAAATTGGCCAGCACCTTAATCTGGGACTTCTAGCCTCCAGACCTGTGAAAAAATAAATGTGTGTTGTTTAAGCTGCCTAGTCTATAGTATATTATAAGACAGCCCAAGCTGAGTAAGATAGACTAAACTGGTTTTTTTGGGTGTGCATGCTTGGATTCTTCTCTGGGCTGCATTATCAGATAATTATACCAACTGTACTTTGGTAGGAGGCTGCTCACTCTGCATGCTTGTAGTCAAGGGCTTAACACCTTTTTTACAGTTAGTATTTCTTCTAAGTGCTCAAGGCAGTACCTTATTTGAATCACAAAGCATCTGAGAATGTAACATAATTCCTGACTTCACCTTTTAGTGTTTGTCAAAAGAAAGTCTTTGCAACTAAACGTAATGTGGTACCCTGGATTGGACCCTGGAACAGAAAGAAGACTTTAGTGGAAAAACTGGCAAAATCCAAATAAAGTATGGATTTTAGTTAACAGTAATGTTCCAATGTTTAGCTTCTTAGTTATGACAAATCTACCATGGTGATATAAGATGTTAACAGTTGGGAAACTGGGTGTGGTATATGTGACCTCTCTGTACTGTCTTTGCAACTTTTCTGTAAATCTAAAATTATCCCAAAATAAAAGAGCATATTAAAAAGAAAGCCACTGTTTTTATCAGTTGATCTCATAAGCATTATACATTTAAATATGGAAGAAATTTATGCTAATGAAATACAACTTGATCTGTTTTTATATATTGGAGTTAAGGGTTAAGATTTT